CCCGGATAAAAGAAATAATCGTTACAACTGGGACACGGAGACGGGACAAGAGAATCACATTACGATTGCATTGGACGAAGGTGAACAAAGCCCTGGAGCTGGCAGGAAAGGGGTTTTTGAGGTCGCCTCCCCTCACCAGAGTGAAGAACAAGTCGAATTGAGCTGGAGATTACACTCACCTCACCACACGCAAAACTTTTGCCATTATTTCCACCCTAGACGCCAACACCATGCAGCAGCAGCAAAAAGACAAAAGTGAACTCTTTCCTACTTTGACACAGTACAGAAGACCAAACTCACCTCCTTCTCTCACGGGATTTATCTCTCCCACAACTTAAGCACACTGAAAGCTATCAAACTTTAATGGGAATGGGATTTATTGATTGTGATTCATTCAGTCGTATTAAAATTTGATTATGGACCTACATACATATATACTTTGCTCCCTCCTAAATATCGTACAAATTCGACCAGTCATTCCATTCCCACTCTTTCTGATTAGAGCTATTATTATTCCTTGATATTTTAGAAATTGCAATTAGAAAGAAAGTAACAGTCCATTATTCTCAACTTATTTTAGGCTAATTTAACGAAGGGAAACCTCACCGCGTCGTCACTAGCAAATCAAATGTATGCGTAGGTATAATCGTAGATGACGTTTTTTGGAATGGCGAAGGGTTTAAGTGAAGTTCGCCTCAATTATTTAACCCGCTACTTAATTCTGTCATTCATTTACGCACGAAAGGTGTATTTTTATCGTCCACAAGGAATTCTCTTACATACGTTTACATATACTTATATACTGCTGCATATATGTATATACACACCTTCCTATCAGGTCGACCAACCGAAGGAACACGGACGATTTGAGTTGCACGATTGAACTTTGGGAATTCAAAGCATTGTGCGGAGGACGACGGTTGAATGGGTACAATAAAGGAGATAGATAGAGTTGGACCGACGGAGGACAGAATAGGAGCCAGGTGAAACTTTTTCATTTGAAATGAGAGAGAATTAGTAAGAACTCGAGTTACTCGAGGGTATTAACAATGGCCTAATATCCAAATCTAACTTTGTCACAGAACAGAAGTGACAAAATACTTTTAGAGCATTCATTCCCTCCTTCGTTCTTTCGCTTCAAGAATATAATATCTTTACGCACTTTGTACAAAAGAGTATGTAGCTAACTCAAGCCACATGCAGTCATATCCATATTCCGATACTTATATGCATTATTCCACACCACAAACAATCGTCGTATACACAAACATGATGTTAGTAATATGAAAATGACTTAAAATTACGGAAAGTATAAGTATGTACACAATAACCATGTGGATACATATGCACCCACTCACAGTGCTCGGCAGTTGGTCACAGCATCAGAGACGGTTGAAATTGTACAAATCTACAAAATTATCTCTTTTTACCTTCCCATGTATTTCATGCCAGACTCCTCATGCCATCAAGAACAAATTTGAGCCCAAAGTGGTCTCTCGTAATTTTAGAAGTGGGTCCTTTTTGTTCACGGCTACCATTAAGATTTTGGGTGACCCATGTCCAACCATATCCAACAAACCAGCCTCCTCTCTTCTATCCAACAACCTCGAGCCGATTTATCCGTTACTTTCATATTATTATATTTACTACGACAGCACACAGCTTATTCTGTAATATGAAGTGAGTAATATTTAAGATCGGTGAATAAGGGACCGCTGCGACACGACACAATTTACTGTCGCACAATTGTCAAATATAAAAGGTACTTGAAATGTTTAAAGGCTCTTCAGATTTCCCTGCTTACCTGTCTGCCTACCTACATTTCAAATTCAATGTGCAACTTTATATATATTTCCTTGACTTGGTTGGGTAGCTACAACAGTGCAATCTCTTGGATGACAATTGCCAACAAAGTCTCAATAAATGGGACAAAGTACAGTTTAGTTTGAGGGAGGACTAGAAAATATAAAACTCTGCTCCACACCAAATTCCCTTTCAACGGTACTACAGCCCTATCGAGCATTAAGGAGTACAAACTACAAATTGCTTTGAAATTTTGAATAATACATTATGGATGACGTCGAGGTGCGATGTTGATTTCTAGTAAAAATAGAAATTATTGAATGTGAAGCGACAACGTATTTGTGCAAAGTTGATTTTTTATCCACTTTACTCGATGAAGAAACTGCACCTACCTTCATGTATTTATGTACACATACGAGGCTGGGGTGAGGTGGCTTGGTCGAATGATTGTAGCTGGTGATGATGATGAATAAATAAAATATTCAATCTTTGTGACCCCACTTGACTTAACATCGCGCATCTCACATCTTTATCCATCCTTTTTTGCTACTGTACTAAACCGAACACCACTCAAGCCAACAACAATGCTATTTCGAGATTGATTGAAAAATCCTAACCATCCCATGTAAAATCAGTTCAGATGGGTTTGAATAAGTCAATCAGTAGTATAAAGTAAGAGTTACCTACTTTTAAGAAGGTAAAAGAAGGCGGCGGACAAAAGACTTTTCTGCTTTGCTTCAGATTGGAAACAAAAATGTGAGATTTTGGCTTGGCCAAATTGGTCTGTCGTGAGTTGCAAGATTTCTCAAATGAATAACTGGAAATCACGGCTCAATTATTTCAATAAACTTAGCACACCGCTTTATCGTCTATATTGTAATATGATTCTATATACGACACAATTCTCAATTCTATATAAGACAGAATTGGCCATGTAGGGAATATGCATAGCAAGTTTCCTACGCATTAAGCACCTTTTGTAATCTGTGGAATTTATAGCTGAATGAACTGAACAGACTCTTGTCTATTCACATAATTTCTCTATAACTTAACCAATTTTTCAATCAAATTCTAGTGAAATCTTAATGAAAATAATGAATCCCTAATCAAATTTTAATCCATTCAAGCAAATGAAATCCATTCTAAAATCTTAGTGCAGAAAAGAACTGAAACGAACTCAAAAGTTAAAATATTTTAAGACAAGATTTGTAATTGACAATGTGACTGCCCAAAACTTGTCATTGCGGTTGAAAGTGCACTTCCTACTCAGATTGCATGTACCACATAATTTTACTCATTCACTGACTACCTGGTTATGACGAACTACCTGGAAATCTAAAAATATGAGAAAGTGGAATGCCAACCTCAGACAGGTGACAATACTGAAAGAACTCGTACTTTCCAAACAACCTCAAGAAACAGAAAACTTTGTGCGGTTTGGGTTGCAACTAACTAACTAAACTTTGAAACCTTTCCACTTATTCGACCTTTTTCTCATTTAGTTGAAGTCTGGCCAGGATCAGAAAATGTCGCCAACATGTTCTTCATTTTCTTCCACTGAACCCAAACTTGAAGAATTTACCTTGATGGCGACGCGAGATCAGAGGACAAGGACACGTTTTGGAGAGAATAAGTACACAAATAAGAAGTCCAACTCGAGACTTTTAAGTGCTTCTACTGCCCGTGTGGACATAAAACTTTAATTTCCACCCATTGCTACTGAAACAAAACTTTTCTAAACAGCCATCCCCTGCAGACGATAGTTTGGATTTCAATTTTCAATACAAGCTATTATCTAATCCGGTGAATTTCTTTTAACCGAATGACGTTTCGCAGCTTACTTCATTGTGAATGGCGAGATAAGTATAAAAATATATTTTTCTGCTACTCTACAAAAAAATCTCAGTCAGACGTCTAGATTTGATATCAATATCAGGATTCTACGGTCCACGATAAAAGTAATTCTTCTTCTGCTGCACACCCGAAATACGAAAGTGCGATTGTTTTATTGCTTTCCCTTTGAAAATGTTGAATTTGAAGGAGGTGGGTTGGGGTTTCCAAGTTATATTGTTGCAGAACTCACAGTTTTATGATATACTTTATCTGTCGTATTTGGTTAAGAAGAAGAAACACCCAATTCTTCTCGATCCTCGATATGGGTACCATTCATATACCATATTCAATCCAGAGTAGAATGAAACTTTACATTTTAAATTTTACAACGCAAGGAAAATAAAAGTTCAATAAAATAGTTAAATTTTGAAACAAAATCCTATGCATTTCCCATGTCTCATGCCACAGCCATAAAAGCTGACATAAACTGATGAGCGTTCTCTATACCTCACTCTACAAATGTATAAGTATAAATTTTCCTATGCTTCGACATGCATAGAACTAAAAACAGTTGCGGCAGGCAGCAGTAAGAAAGAAATGTAGTATCGAACTTTTCGTCAAGTCTGTCAGGTTTTGTGTCATAAAATAAAACTGAAAAAGTTTTAACCCTACATGAACAGCAGGAAATAAAATATTTAAGAGATTTTAATGGCCTTAAACTTCTTTTAAGTGGTGGTGTTTTGGTTTTGAACATTACACCTTTGAAACTTTATAGAGTGCTTAGGTAGGGTTTCAAAATAATTTAGAGGCTCCTTCCGACTACACCTTTTGTCGCATTGTAAATTTAATGCATGCACGCTGGACAAGTCCCTGACATCAAGAAATCAAAAGCATTTACATGTGATGGCGTTCGTGGTTCCCAAGTTGAAATTAATACCCTCACGAAAAAGCTATAGGGATGTTGACCCTCTATAATTCGAGCTCAAAATTAAGCAACCGAAAGCTTAAATTTCTCACAGGCATCACAACAATCAACTCGTCGAGGAAATAATTATTGATAATCAAATTTAGAGCCAAGTTAAAGTTCACTAGCTCTTATGCACGAAATTATACGGTGGGGTTTCTTTGAGTAGGTGGGAAGACCATCAACAACGTTGTTGCAAACTGCCAATTAACTTGCTAATTAAAGACCTGGGAGAAGGAGGAGAAGCAGAACGCCGTGCTTCCAACTAATGAAATGCAATGTAAAGTAATGTAATGCACGGCATCGGAGGCCGTCGAATAATATCCATGTATCTATAAGGATGGACTTTTGAAGTTGTAGAGTCGTCGTCTCAAGAGTTGAAAACTTAAAGTTTGTTTACCTGTGAGAGCGAATCCAATTACGAAGGAGGACATCCTACCCTCGGTAGTTATGCGATTCCTTGACTGGAACATAATGATGGGATGTTGAACGATGCCGTCAACTTTAATGCGTCAAAGAGGGAACTAATTGTTTGACGATCGACTTTTGTCAATCTTGATTATTCCAATCCAATTTGAAGGTTCAAAATTCAAAATAATCGCATGAAATTCACTAAAAACGAGTATAACCCGTATCACTACTACAGGTCCAAGTTTCTCACTTCACCACAACAAAGGCAAGCTTTCTTAGCTTGAATCATATTTTTAAATGCGAAATCCATCAATCCGAAGTTTAGAAATATACTCACCACTATAGCTGTGTCAGTAGTAGAATATAATAATTTTTCAAAACTTGTACTGAGAATTTCACAATAATTCAACTACACCCAAGTCTAACAATATGTTATAATTTGATTAAGTGTTTTATTCAGATCCACGGGTTGTTCTGTCCATTCCTCCAAAGTTTCCGTTCAGTAATTTGTGTTAAATTGCATTTATTTTCCTAAATGCCAAGAAGTAATATAATAATATCCACTTTTAGATTTTATTGATTCACCTCCGATGAAAAGGTATGAATACTTGATCGGCCTGATTGTTTAGTATTCCGCGAATGGAATGGGTTGATCCAAAGTTGGAAATAAAGTTTGAAGTTTCAGATTATTGGATATTAAACACATTCACCACAATCTCACCGGCCAAACTCAATTATTTATTTATCCTCAGAGACCACGTAGTATATATATCCCAGTGCTCGGGATAATTCAAGTTAATACGTTATTACTTCTAGTATTAAACTTTTAACATCCTTTTAAGAGATAGGCCAATAACAAACACTGCACTATTCTGTAAATGCGCACATCGAATAAAGTTGTCAATTGTGGAAGCGTCCCAAACCGCAAAACGAATCCTTCACGATCTTCTTAAAGCTGAAGATTGATCTCGGTCAGTAGAAAATTCCCACGAAAATTATGACCTGGAAATAAAAAAAGAAAGTATTTTAAGGATGTCACAAGCCAACAATAATGTCGTCTTGTAATGCAGTCATCAATCCCCAATACGAAATGTGTAGTACTGTCAAAATATGAATTTCAGATTTTGAACATTTTCACCCGACTTGTTTTGACTGCACTTCCGAACAGACTCAGCATAATATTCCTAACACTAAATAATCACATAATCGGATGTCAACATCCGAAAACCAGTGATACAGCACTCCGATACGATATGAAAATGACGAGGGTTTTATTCCCATTTCCGTTCCTATCTCTCCCTGCTGTGAAACGTATTATCAGTCTACCAGCTTATTATCAAATCAACACAATTTAAACTTTTCCGGAAACACGACGATTTAACTCGATATCTACTTTTGAACTACTTCATTATTCATGTGATGCTCACAATTTCATACCTACCGTGCACTTAGCAAATGAACACCTCGTCACCACTATACATATATTTACTAATAATAGTTTTGCACGTACTAAAAGTCCGGAAATACTGAAATTCTTGTATATCAAAAAACAACCAAACACTGCACACAATCTACGACGACCTACTAAAATATAACTCCAGTAAGTCCTCTCCAACAACAAATAACAACAATCCTACACAGCCGGCATCTGCACTCCGGCTAAAAATGATTCTGCAGCAAATTTTTCATATGATTCAAGTCCCCTCTACTTATTTTGTCGTTGTCCGTTAGAGAAATCCGAAATCCGGGCCGGCATGGAAATGAAATGAGAACGATAACTGAAACGGTTTTATACCCACGTCAACTTACCCCATGCACATAAACTCGCACAACAAAGGTACCCTTCTGCTCAGCCCCGTTCTTGTAAGGAATTCAATACGTTTCCAAACACACTAGTGATTATTTTATTAATCCAAATTTTGAAAGGGTTCACTTTGCATATGTTTTATATCCCGTTAAAAAACCATTTTCTTTAGCGTCGAAGAATGCTGCAAAGAGAGAGAGAGCGTGAATAAGACTTATAGGAGCGTGTATGAGAGCGAGAGACAGCGTCTGCACCTGGCTTCCCGAAGGCTCAAAGCAAACTGACGACCCAGCTCCTCAATCCCCTCTCAACTTGCCTCAAACCACCGCAACCATACTCCTCACCAGCCTCCACTCTCTACGTGAGATGCACTTTTCGCTGAAATGAGATGACAATGAGATTCATATTTCTGCAGTTTTTTGCAGTCTCGCAAAATTTGTTCCCAAAATCGATCGTAAATATTGAAACTTTGATGCTATTCCACTGAATTTTTATCGTTTATACTTATATTATGTCGAAATTGAGACGGGAATATTTGAATTGTGTGCATACCTGAATAAAAAGCATATGGTGTAATTTAAATATGTTACAGGAAATTCTATCTTTTGGGAAATATGTTGCATTCCTTGTGTTTAATGGGAAAGGAAATAAAATTGAATCATCGATGGAATTTCTCTTCGGAATGTGTTTGCCGTTTGCCGTTTCCTAAAAAACTTTTGCAAATTTGTCTTCTTTTAAGGTTAAATTAACCGTTATGGAGTCAAGCTGGAGGTGAAAGTTGACTCAAGTGACTCAAGCTTTTGTGTTTGTGTTTGTGTGGCTACTTGGTTGGTTGGTTGAGGATGGTTTCTTCCTTCTCGTCCTTGTGAAAGAAAATGCACAGCGGAGAAAGAATGGTAAGTACGTAAGTATGCAAGAGAAGAAGGAACTTATGCTCTTATTTCGGTTCAACAGCTCAATCCTTTGTCCTTTTCTGCAGGATCTGCATATGAGGGAAAGATTCATCCGGATTTCAGGTTTCTTTCTGCCCCCGTTCCTGCGATCCGACCATCCGACAAAACGTACTTTCTCTCTCTTTCCGTAATACTGCATTGTCCTGGATTCAATATGGTCATGATGATGATGGTGATGGAAAAGCGAAAGATCACACACAACTTCCACTCACTCTACTCTTCCGCTGCTGCTGCTGGATTAGGAAGGTGGTGGTGCCTTTTAATAATATCTGAGAAGTAAATCCTTGAGAAGTCACTACGCAGCCAGACTTGCTTTTTTTTTTCTCTCTCTCTTGAAGTGTATGGAAATCAGAGAATATCTTCTTCATCGTCTTTCCTAGACTTTACCCCGCTTCCTTCCTTTTTCATCTTTTCTTGCATGGTTTCACCTTTTTTATTCGATGAGTATCTTAAATGCTAACCTTACCATCGCTTGAGCTACCCCAGCCCAGACCTTTGGCAACTCGGTTTGGTTTTCGTTCGACTTTTATTCACTTCACTTGACTTTACTTTGGCTTCTTAATCTTCCGGCAGGTCCAAGTCTTGAAGGATGGTGCGGCATCCGCATTGATGACGGCGATATTGCATTCAACGGTTACTTTCTCTGAGTTTGTTGGAAAAAGTTGAGGTAAGGACATGACCTGTTGTAAATATGCTGTTGTGAACAAGGGAAAAAATCGACTTGATGGTGGGATCTATATATATTTGTCAGAGATCATTATTTGTATCTATACATGTTTCGTCATCCTACAAATATTAAAGCGTGATGGGACTAGAACGAAAAATTGAAACATGTGTCACCAAATAATTCGTAATAACCTACAGAACTCGGACTACAATTTTGTATACATACATTATTGCATCTCATTTATTTGCGTGGGCAGGAAAATGTGGCTTATTTCGAATCAAATTGATATAGAGCTGAAATTCTGTGACGTTAAGAAGTATATCTATTAAGCTAATTTTGCAAGAGATTCATTTAAAGTCATAGTTGCAGAATTAATATCGTTCATCCTCCTGATTCTGCAGTGCCAAAACTCTGCTAGTTGGACTTGGTTAACAAAATCCATGTCGTAATTTGCATCCAGCGAACAATGGAATGACGCAATATGAAGAATTGGGTTGATGTTGACAGTAAATGTCACACATGAGAAAGAGGACCGTAGCTTTGCTGCCCAGATCGACAACTTTTGTTCTGGAGTGGACGTGAAAGAGAAAGTGAATTTGGTCTGTAGTTTAGTCAAGTCAAGTGAGTTTGCATTTCGACAGTGACACACTTTTACTCAATATACGAAAGCCCAGTTTCACTAGGCTCATATAGCATAGCACTCGTATAGTTCATGGACAAGGAGAAAGTGCGAAAGTGTTTTGGATGGGAACTAGTCAATTCGGGAAGTTGAAACTAAAGTTTAATTATCTTGCTTTTATGCAGTATTTGTGTTCACGGGGCTTATTGTCTGTGTGTCATAACAAAGTTTGGATTTTGAATAAGGTATAAGGTTACACAGACCGAATCAAAATTCCCAAAATTATGTTGTCAACAATGTCCCAATTTCCAAGAGCAATCGGACAGCATCTTCTTCTTCGTCGTCGTCTTCATTCTATTTTATTGACTGAAAAGTTCTTTTCTTCCAGGATTCAATCCAAGGAGACGGGAGACAGTGCTGTACGTGAAGTCAACATTTCCGGCGTGGAGGAGAATATTAAAATCCAAAGTTCTATGTTCTATGCCATCCAATCTTCAATTTATCTATGAACACTTGATTCCTCCAGCTCTTAAAGAGTCTTCTCCTTCCGCTCCCTCTTCTCCTCGATTGCTTTGACTTTTCCTTGTGGACACGTATTGAGAATTCTCATCTCATCGGTGACTGCGACTCATCTCATTTGAATATTTCGCTTCCTAGAACTGATTGTTGAGTTGAGGCTATCTCCACAGCCTACTTTTCACCCATTATTGTACTTCAAACATTATTTTATTTCGGGTCCAGGACAAAAATCTAATAACAATATTTTGTATTTCAAAATAAACAAGTTAGGAATAGCCAGATTTAAACTAAACATAACGGCTGGTTTGAAATTTCAACTTTTCACATTTTTTTTATTTTCAATAAATGCACTGTAATCGAAGAGTGTATAAAATTTGATTCGTTGCATCATCGGACTTGGTCGTGGGATAAGTCTGGTTGAAATTGTACGAGTAGAGTAGACAAAGACGCAGCAAGTATTTGATTTCATAATGGAAGGAACATGATATAACGAACCTGAGTGTTCACCATAATATAACGAACTTGCATGACAAAAGAATCCTGAAGTGGCTCTCGGAACAAAAAACTGATTAAAATGAAGAGGAATCAAACAGGTAGCTCTTGCAGCGGAGGAGACGCAGCAACTCACTTCCATTTCACATCATGCAAGCGTCGTCGTATTATTGAAGACCCACGCGTGACTCTTTACAAGAAATAAAAGTATTTGGCCTGGTCAGGTGGCTCGGTCGATGTCTTCCTTTCAGCCTTCTTTTAAAACGGTTTCCTAAATTATTTTGAGACAGATTATTTCAACAGCGATTTCAATTCCCTGTTGTTTTGGCTAATTTTATTTACAACTTTTACAAAGGTAAATGCAAAGGTATTACTAAAAATTGAAACAGATTAATTTTAAAAAGAGTTTCCGAACACGTCAAAATTCGAAACATGTTAAAGTTCGAATCAAGAAATATATTAAACAATAGTCAAAATTAAGCATTGTTCTTGAATACTGTTGGAAAACCTACGATGATACGAGTACGTCTCATTTATTTAGAAGGGAAATACTAAACATACGCACATAGGTACTTTTCCCAGTGCTACAGATGTATGCATCCTCTTTGCACGCATCTCTGAAAAATATCTATCAAATAAAGGCTTCATCTTACATACCTTATATCATACGTCCACGAAAACTTTAATATTCAGGAGGCTGTTGGAGTGACTTCAAAAATTAAAATGAGAGATGCAACCAGACGCCTTTGAATCCCTGAACCTTACAAAGTCATCCCTTCACCAAGCGATCTCTTATTGCCTCAAGTCAAGACGTCCCATATACTTTGGACACACTTGTATTAGATTCCTGGTTGAATGGGTCTTATCATTAGACGTGTAGTCTATTCTAACCATACTCTCTCATAAAAGTCCCATCCATTGTTGTTCAGTTTTGTACGTGTAGTCAAAGTCTTGTGTAAAAAATGTCCCTCTACTAAAGGGTATTTTTTATGCTCCCAGTTGAAATGTTGGCCTCCCCCCTAATTTTCTAATATGTGTATAATACAAGTGGAAATTAACTATTCAAATCCTTATTATAAATGACGGTGGGGAATTCTGTTGACAAGTCCCATGGAGAAAATTACAGAGGACATTGAGGGTTGAGAGTTGTTGGATAAAAGCTGCCCAACATAGTACCAAACAACAAGATATATAACGCAGCATAACAGTTAACCATCCATATTTTCCAAGCAGGGTGGACTAAATTTGTTCGAGTCAGCCCGATGTCTTTTCATTTTATTTGTATTATTATTTTTTTTAAGAAACGTCAACATTGTGAATTCGCTCTGCTGCGTTATTAAAGTTGATTGGTCGTCAGGCTATATATAGACATACAAAGACGAATTCCGTTCTTGGGCAGCAAGTTGAAAAATTAGTTTGTGGAAAATAAAGAGTTTATTTTCCTACTAATTGGTTGAAAACAGTGGAATATTTCGTCACTACTCCTTTTCCCAAATTTTGTCGCATGCACTCGTTCCTAATCTTTTATCAGTGTCATCAAGCTCGTCACATAACTCCAAAAACGTCCCTGTGCATCATTAAATGAATTTAATGAAGCGGAAAGAAAATGGCATTAACGTTTAATAATTCGTTTTTTGATTTGGTTTAACTGTGCCCATAAAATCACTGCCCACGTTTTTATTCCCTTTATGATTTAGTTTGGATAATTTGCCCTCCTAATTACAATCATGGTTCACTAATCCGTCACTTTTTCCAAGTGACGGTGGTTGTTGCGTTATTGCAATTTTCAAATAAATTGGCGATTAAAGAATAGCAAACGGTCCGTTTCGTCTTCAAATTATCAATCTTTATATTTATTATACTAGCAAATACGCATATACCTGCAACTCTAACGAGCAACAAGCAATCATCAAATTGCAAATTTCGATGAATGTTAGAAGGTTGTGCAACTTTGTTAATTTTGGTTACACATTGTACATCACCCTCTCCTGAAAATTACGTAACGAACGAATTGAATAATAAATAAAAGTCGACGATGTACACTTTAAAATTTAATTTATTGTAAAAGAGCACGACATAAAATTACTAAAGCACAAATTTGTTTTAGTAGCTACTACTTAAATGTAAAAGTGCATACAAAATGTGATCAACGAGCTCACTCATCCATAATTTATTAACTTTGGTAATGGCATATTATAGTAACCAAGCTTTAAAATGAAACGAAACGAGCAGAAGTATGTTTCAACTCGACCGTGCCGGGATACTAGCAAATACTTGCAAAAAAGTACTTGTAACAAAGTTTTACTTCATTTGTATTTTGGACCAAGTTTGCATTTTATTATTGAATTTTTCAAGTGGCAAAAGCTGGTTTAAGATTTGGTCTTATCGTGTATGCACCCAATTTTTGTTTTCATATTCATACCTGATGAATAATCATCGTCATTGTTGCAGTTTGTTGGTTAAAAAGTAAGTATGACATAACCCTTCGTTCGCCTTCTCTTATTAGGAATTCTTTCGGGAGGTATAAGTAATGACTAACTAACTAACCATCCAACTAACCAAATCAAATTATCTCGGCACAAATTGTAAATTACAACTTTCACCTCAATCGTTAACTTTGCTTGTGATAAGAAGGCTTAATATATGCCGTGTACTCTAATGATACCGATATCCAAGAGCTAATTTGATATAATGCGGGCTGACATCAGTCAGTCAGTCATAGTTTTGCAATCTGTATTAATAATTCTGTTGCCGTCAGATTTACCTTACTTCAAATAATGAAGAATGCTCCACAAACCTCAAGTATCCTTTGTTAGCTTGAAATTACTTATGCTACGCTGTATATTCCAAAACATGCATCGTGTCCAACATGCGATTCGGTGTTGTCTTATTGTCAAACTCAAGCATCGTGTCTTTCAATTCATGAAGACAGATTATACCTGACGTATTAGCATTCCGCATTATTATTATTATTATTTAATGCTGATCTTAAATAAGACCAACCCCATAATTTGCACACACACTCAGCAACTCGAGCGCTTCATCCAATCATGCTTTCATTTCATTCATTTGATTGATTACTTGCACTAATTTCAACTTTCATCTCGAATACAAGCATACATACGAGTGGGGAGCATGAACTAATATCCTTTGTGTAGCCGAATAAATAAATACTTGTAGTTCATTTTTAATACTCTACTGATGTTTGACGGCGTTATTTGTCTGAATTAGGCGATGCTTATGAAATGATTGCGTAACAGCGATAATACTCGTGTTCGCTCAATCATCAATGACTAGCCTTTAAGTAAGATAAAATCATAATTTTACATATGGCACATTTCTGACAGCTAAAGGTTCACTCACAAACGTAACTTAATTAAATATTTCAATCATATGAATTTGATTACAATTGACAACTGCAATTAATTTAGTTATAGTATTGAAAATATTTATTAATGTTGGTACGATTTGTTTATACTAACAGATTTTCACGTTGATTCTCCCAAGGTTGCATGTACTCATTGCGTATGCATTATGGGCATAATTTAATGGCACAAACTTCTATGATTGAGTTTTCTTTAGCAGCAAATATGCAGCAAGGCTGGGAATTGACTGTGAAAACCCACTTCGTTTCATTACAGAGATGACAGAAGTACAGAAGTGCGGTATTTATAATGAAGATTAAGCATGGGTTGGGTGCCCTTGGGTTTCCACGCACTTGCAATATTCAAGACGAGAAGCCTCTAATCCCCCGTAGAAATTAGGATGAAGTATCAAAATTGCATTTTTATGGTTTTTCATAGACAGCTCCTACCTACATATCCAACTACCTGTGTACACTCTGAACCAGCTCTGTAGGAAAAGCTGCAGTTTGTAGCATTCTTTATTTCCTATGCATGTCTCAGTTACCTGTTTTCCTCTTCTGATATTCTCGCTCAATAAATAATTATGTAAAAAGAATGCTATTCCGACGAGTAAAAGTGCTTCTCATGTTGTGGCAGCTTATTTGCTCAATCCTTGATCATGTTTGGTTGGGGAAGAGGGCCTGAAGGGATTATTTTCAAAAAAATGTTACAACAGGAATTGCTCTAATCAACAACTTAAATCAATCCCGTATCTTGAACTACGCAAACAAGACTAATTCCATGAAATCTTGGATTTATCAGTAGCAAGCAGCGTATACTGCAATAATCAACCACTTGACCATGATGTGGACTTTATCATCTGCATAACGTATCTGTACTACACATATGAAAAACTTTGATGATGTGATGATCCACAATGGGCCTGCCTCATCGATGCAGCACTACCAAGTCTGCAGGGCTGTGTCTGCACATGTATCATCACTACAGCATGAGTAGTCCTCAGAGTCATTAATTTTTTATGTTGGACAAATCGAAGCCCAAGTACACCGATGGTCATCTCATCACTTTGTAAATTAAAGTCCAAACTTTCAGGCTGACTTGAAAATGAAGGGAAGCCATGGGTTGGATTGCATGGATGATTGAGCCCTTAAGGGTATTAGAATCTCATCACTGTTTTTATACCTAGTTTAAGCGGTTAAGTTATTGAAAATGCTAGGTAAATGTATTGATTGCTGAAAAGTGGGAGTATTGATTGGTCATGTTTATAAGGCATCCCTCATTCCCTTCAACTTGTGCGTACCTATGTATGTATGAGAAATGTAAAGGAATCTATGTATGAACATATGTAGCTTGATTATGGAGGGATCAATTAAAACGCTGTGGTAAACGTTGATAGGAGTGGGATTGAGTCTGGAAGAATGGTCACACCACAAAATTTCTATTTCGTAATTCTAATTATTATTGCTGGTTTGTAGTTTTTTGCACGATTGAACTCACCAATCTAAAACCATTATTTTAAAAGTGTGAATTAAGGGTGCAGTAACAAATGCTTCATTGTTACGTGGCATGTATTAAGGCCCGGCCACACGGAGAAAAATTCATGTTTTCATGCGTAAAATTTGTTGCAAACACCGTTCACACCAAAGAAAAGTGGTGTGAAACAATTTGCATCGGAAAATGTTCAAATGTTTTTTTTACGCATGAAAGTATGTGTGCCTAGTGTTCACACCAAGCTTCGGTGAGTAAAATTTTACTCACAAAACCTTCATGCAACAAAAAACTTTACTTTGAACATTTAATGTCCTTTCAACGCATTTTTATTTTAAACAATTAGGAAAATTCCACTTTTCATCAAATCCCTTCACAATGTCCATCCACTTTTCTTTATCTGGCACCTATTATAAAAATTACTAATCAATATATATAATTGTAGCGCTACAATTAAATGTATATAAGCATACTTTCAGATAAACCGGTTGCAAATTTTTCCATAAAGCTTGATTAACGGACTTTATAATATTCTGCACAGTTGACCTTCCAACGCTAAAGCTGGTTGCAATAGTTTTGATTGAATCCCCACTTACTAAATACCTAATAAATTAAATCAATAAGTATATGATGCAACTCTGCGCAAACTTTTTAATTATTATTACCTGAGGCCAATAAATAGCCGCTGACGAGGAGGTATTGAAAGACGATAATTTGTATCTTGCAATGTTATATCCAATGTCACCATGCCAAGTACCTTATCGAATTGGATGGGAGACATCCGCCTGTACTCAAAGAATTTATCGGAATAACTACTGTTCAGCCGATATTAATAGTCTCAATCCCTTGGAAATTTTTCTGGGAGGTTATTTGGTTTTTTGAAAATATTATGAAATATCTGCCAAGAAACCTCTCAGATTTTTTTCAGACTATTAATATCGGCTGAACAGTAGTGTACATCATTTCAAGTTTTAAATGCTCGCCCAGCGTTGGCCGCAACAAATTTAGTGGATGAATCCAACATTTTCTCTTGGACCTTTGCCTAATAAGTCGACGTCTCAATAGGATGAGAGCAACAATCGTTTTATTGTCCATTTGAAGCTATTAAAATAATGTAGCGCTACATTAATAACAAAATAATAGCATTTATATTTAAAACTAGCATTTATATTTAAAACCAAATTAATCTTTGGGGCGAATTTATGAAATAAACCAACTTTCAGTTTTGAGACAACTCGATGATACATTTAAATGCGTTAAAAGGATAAGGATTTTGAGATTTTTCATGTAAGAATTTTATTTTACTTTGAACATGTTCAAAGTAAAAAAAAGTTTACTTGCGAGTAAAAATTTACTCGCTTCACCGTTCACACGGCGTTTCCCGTTTCATGCAATAATTTTACTCGCGACAGATTTTGCGCAAACATTTCCGTGTGGCTCGATCAATTCTTTTTCTTGTGAGTCAAATTGTTGTACGTACAATTTTACTCATGAAAGTCATAATTTTTTTCCCGTGTGGCCGGGCCTTTAGAGTCAACAGAATCCGGATTTACTTATGCTACACAGGTTGCATAATATATTTAGTATTCTCACTTTGAGCCTTCTATAAACCAAACCATTCAAACGAGCATGATACGTTAGAGAAAATTTATTTTCCTTTTATTTTAAAATAAATGTGACGAAATTCGTGGATTTAGAACTTCACTTGACTCACACTTTTATTAAATACCAATCAATGGTGATGAGAATGATGCTATTGCGTGTCGAAATATTCGTCACACTTCGTACAACAAAGAAATTACTTCCTTACGTTGCATTTTATTCATGTTGACAATGACAATATATGTAAATAGGATAATTTAATTTCAACGGTTTATAACTAGGATTTGCCAATTGTTAGCAGTCCAAACTACATATAAATTGTGTTTACAATCCTTCTGAAACCACATACTCACATGTAATCGAACAAAGGAATATTCACACTGTTGGACTTTCAGCAGGTAACTTTGGCTGGTTTCTCGCTAATCCTCACATAAAATCAATCAACACTTCCACAACATCTCAAATCAAATAATCTCAAATTGAAATTGGATGTTCAAGACAATTTAAATTCTGGCCATGACTTGGGTCAAGCAACCATTGACACTTAAGTACGAATACTAAATCCTCTGCCTGTAATATGCATGTACATATGCGTCGAATTTGAGCATGCACGTTTCTTACTTTCTTAATCCAAGTTTTTTTTGTTTTTAGTGTGGTTTTGTGGTTAAATACCATCGTGAAAGGTAAGCAAGAGTGTTTGTTCACTTCACCACCAACTAAGAATACACATACCAAAATTAAACAAAAAAAATATAGCAGATATGGTTTTAAAGTTATTTGGTAACGATTCATATTTAATTGTTTGTTTTGTTGGAATTATTTACAAATCATTTTATGACGGCGTCATCGTCGTTTTCGTATGCACAGAAATGGTTTGGTATATGCTGAAGCTAATGAGGTTCAATCCAATTTAGAGCAAGTCATTTGTCTGGTTGCCTCCATTTGGTTAAAAATTTCACACTTTGAGCCTTGTTTTTTGTTATCATTAGCATTAGGAGTCAGTCATGAGTTATTGCATGGAATAAACACCCCATTTATTAAGTAGCTTCAGCTACTTTATGTGAAGACTTTGTCTGTCTGTCCGTCTGTCAGCAGGGTTTGGAAAACCCCGGGGTTCTTGTAGAAAAACCCAACCCCTGGGGTTTTTCCGGGGTTTTTGGGGTTTTTGTGGGTTTTTGGGTTTTTGTGGGTTTTTGTAGGTTTTTGTAGATTTTGGGGCAGGTTGAACCAGAATTCCTAAAATTATATATTAGAGATAAACTAATTTTATATACAATTTTAACATGCAATTTTAACCGTTATCATTGATTTGGACTGTTACATCGAAAATTTATGTTTGACATGTAAATCTGGATATATGCAATGATATTTGGAAATTCAAGTCGCAAATGAAGATTCTCAAAATTTCAAGATGAAGTAGAAAAGTTAATTAGCATTGATCTACGTTGTAGTTTAAGGGATTTTGTTTCAATCTACCTCAAAATCCTACAAAAACCCCGGAAAAACCCACAAAAACCCACAAAAACCCGCAAAAACCCCAACCCACAAAAACCCGGGGTAGCGAACCCTGTCTGTCAGCAGGATAACGGGAGAACGGATAAAGATAATCGAAATCGGTTTTCGCCATCATACATAAGACCCCAGGGGGAGGATCCTATCAACTTTTGGGTGCAACCGGACCACACCCCCTGGCGCCAGGGGGTGTGGTCGGGGCAAAATGAGATTTTTAGTGCCATCGAATCTATGGATGAACTAGAGTAAAATTTTGTGTATCCCTTATGTGCCACACCCCCCGGGCGCCAGGGGGTGTGGTCGGGGCAAAATGAGATTTTTAGTGCAATTGATTCTATGGATGAACTGGAGTGAAATTTTGTGTATCCCTGATGTGCCACACCCCCTGGGCGTCAGGGGGTGTGGTCGGGGCTAAATGAGATTTTTACAAAAATTGAATCTATAGCTGAAATAGAGTGAAATTAAGTGGTCCCGAGTTGTACCACACCCCCTGTGCGCCAGGGGGTGTTGTTGGGGCAAAATGAGATTTTCAGTGAAATTAAAAAACATGGATGAAATACACTGAAATTAAGTGTTCCCCCGCTGTCGTAGGGGTGGAGTGAATCTGAAGCTACTTCCGTATGCGCGTTTGCGACGGTTTATTTCATTCCATAGTTTGCTTTCTGTGTGAGAATCCAAGTATGGAGAGCAAAAATTGAAAGTATTTAGTAAAATTTAGTAAAGTAAATGTTTTACGTTGCAGCATAGCAGTTGAACGTCGAGAATGGGTGACTACCTCTCATTTTTTATGTGTGTACCTGGTACAAAGTTTGAAACCGACAGCGGAAATTCACCTCTGAGAGAGCGAGAGAAGCTGGAAATTGTTACAAATACTCATCAGTCAAGTGGACAATCAACAATGGAAATGATAATGACATTGAGCAACAATGGCTGGCTGGACTCGACGCCCACCTCCTCAGCCACCCATCTCACAACGGATTTTTTAACTTTTTGAGGGGAAAATAATGGACTAATATCTCTTGAGAAAATAAAAAAAATCTCCTCCCCTCTCACTCTCTGCAAACAAAGTTCGTGGTTTACTAAACAGGTGAACTGTACTTTTATTATACTCACCGTGTGACGAAATGAGTCCGTCAGAAAGAAACAGGGGCAGTCACCAATGCCGTGCATTCAATCTGCGCTTACCCGACCACACAATAATCCTGCCGATAAGAAGGTGGGCTACACACGGATAAACTTCAAAGTTCTATTTTCTTTCGTTCCAAGCAAGACAATAAAATGGAATAATGAAACGAAATAATATAATAAAACTTGGTTGATGATCGTTCTTGATTGTTATGCGTTGCACTGGATTTGACCTGACCGTGTGGAACACAACACGCAATTTTATTTTACTATCTTTTTATAGTTTGACTCACGGCGTAATATTGAACACGGTTTTTAACCTTTTCCACCTTTCTGCTTCGAATCAGACAAAGACCAGGTTTACATCAACGAAAGAACTGTTCGCACTGCAAACGGTGTACTTTTTTGTTATAAACTTTAATAAGTATAAAAAACAAAAGAATTGCAACTGAAAAATTGTTAAACATTGAAGCCCCGTCGGTTGGTCGGAAATGACGAATGCACGATTGCGTGTAAATGTTTAAATTGTAATACATTAAACATTGCATATATTGAACTCGTAAGAAGTTTATGCTTCATTTTGAATTGTCAATACGTACGTATGTATACTTATGTAAGCGCAAAACTTGGAAGATTTTGCACTAATCTGCAAAACATTTGGAATAACGTTGCAGAAATTGTATTGTTTCGTCCAGCCAAAATAAATTCAACGGCTGAACTGAAGGTCGTTAAACTGCTGCATCTCTGCTACGTATGCTATTCTCCTTTGGTAATACACTCACACCCAGGCAATAACATAAAAATAAAATAAACCGTCCAAAACTGCAACCACATACAGCAGCATAACAATGTGCATCGAATGAGCCTGGGGGTGCGTCTGGCCAGGGAAATGCAGGAATTGTCCGAGAGGAGAAAGTCTACATGTACAAAGTGTATATGTACAGAGTTGGTTAGTTACTGCTACGAAGGTAATAAAAGAGTGCATAAAAAGAGTTTTGGGTGTACATAATCCTATTTAAAGTTGTGTACAAAGTGAGCCAAATACAATAAAAGTGTACGATGATTGGGTCATTCCGTCTTCCTGTGTTTACCCAGATTGCACTGCATTCAATTGCTTTCTCCTTTCCGGGGTTTCAAGAAGATTGGAAAAACTGGGGAGTGGGATCGACTTCATTGAACGTGCACATGTACATATGTCTTTTGCTGCTGGGATTTGGGGAGGAGAGAAAGGCAAAAGTAAATGGTCTAACATTCATGCATCCCATTCCCCTCAAATCTCTTTCCGTTTAGAATTATTCCAAATCTAATCATCTCTCGGGTATCTCTAATTTTATGTGTTTAGAAAAAATTAAACACGGCGTCGGGCACATTGTGGGTCGGTTGAACGTTTAACAACATTTTTATCTGTATGCATAAATTACGCAAGATTATTACATTTTTAAGATACTGCTCTTTAAGTTATTTATTATTCATGGTAAGGACGATGCAGTCTCTGTCAGCATACAGTGAAGCACGGTTCCGTCGACGACGACGACGACCTAATTTTGTTTCTTTCTCAACTGGAGGAGAACCAGCACGAGGAGTCAGGCAGGACTACTCGGGCTGTGTACACACATAGCCAGGGGAAAAAGTTGATATTATGTATGCATATTATGGCAGTAGTAGTGTAACTTGCAAGGAAATTCCTTGATAACGTTTAAGTGTCCCATTCTCCGGTTTATTTTGATAAAATGCTTCCAGGCGTAGGGAAAGTAAAGAAAAGCAACTTTGTGTCTACACCACTCAATCCATGCCCCAACCTTTCGCGACGACGACGACGACAGTCATTCATGTGACCAAGAGAGAGTTTCCCAGCCTTGCATGGTCCAAGGCACAAGCGTCTAGT